GAACTTCCACTCATCTGGTCGAACCACTACTAAATATCCCCATGCTGCTGATCACATGTATGGTGTATATGTGTACACCGTTATATGTTATATACCGCGATAGACAATTTGCTCCAGGAAAGTTAGAATGAGCTTGTGACTTTAAATGAGCATCATTATCCCACAATACTGTGAAATTTGGGAAATTATGTAATCATTTAATCACAATTTAAAAAAAAGAATCTCGGGGAAGGTAGGGAGGGAAGGGATAGTAGGGGGAAAACAATGGAGGGGGTAACATTACCTTACTCATATAACTGTAACCCTCTGTATAGTATCTTTACAATAAAAAAATTTTTTAATCTATTTTGGTGGTGGAAATGCAACCGGTTTTGGCATGACTTGCTATTCACTGGATTATGCAATGAAAAACAAGCCCAACTAAACCTCCAAAGAATCAACAACTCAATAAATGAGCAAAGAAGCTAACTTCTCAAAGAAGTAAAAACAAATCCAACAAATACATGAAGAAATGCTCAAGTTCCCTGGTCATAAATAAAATGAAAGAAAATTGCGGGTACATTTCACTCCAGTCATAATGGCAATCATAAAGAAGACAAACCATGCCAAGGCTACAGCAGGAAAAGGAACCCAAACATACCATTTGGTGAGAATTCAAGCTAGTACAACCACTATGGAAGACATTATGGAGATTCAAAAAAAAAACCTAAAAATAGAATTACCCTGTGATCCACTGATGCTACTCTTGGGCGTTTATCTGAAAGATCACAAGTCAGGATACAATAAAGTCACCTGCAAACCTATGGTCATGACAGCCCTGTTCACAATAGCCAAGTCATAGAAATAGCCTAAATGCCCTACAACTGACAAATGGATCAAGAAAATGTGAAAGAGTAATCCTATGTCATTTGCAGGGAAATGAATGGTTGTGGAAAAACTCATACTGAGTGAAATAAGCCAGAATCAAAAAGAGAAAAAATACATGATCGGATGTGGACCTAATATATAAATACTTGAAAACAAATAAATGGCTATATACATATGCTGTGGGCCAAACTAACTAAAGGACATTATATATAAAGGTGAGATCATATGGTGTAAACTGTTTTAACAAGTTTAAATATTATGTAGCTGATTGGATATGTGGGGATTAAATGGAGAGAGACCAATGAAAAGAGTAATGGTGAGGGAAAACAGCCATAATATTCAATGTACATATGCAAAAAATGAACCAGAAAAGTTAAGGGGATGGATGAGATAGATGGAGTGGGGGAGGATGGAAGAAATGGCATCAAGATGCACTATAGTTAGGTTCTGGTAGCTGACATCTTAATTATAGCTACTCAGGAGGCTGAAATCTGAGGAGCAAGTTCAGAAGCCAGCCTGAGCAGACAAATCCTCAAGAATCTTAACCAGTAAAAAACTGAAACTGGAGCTGTGGCTCAAATGGTCAAACACCAGTGAAAAAAGCTGAGCACAAGGCCCTGAATTCAGGGCCAAACATACACACACACACACACACACACACACACACACACTGCCCTGGTATGTAAAGTAATGGATGTCAGGCTTCTTTTCCCTCCAATTGATTCTGTGCAGGCCTGTCACTATTTTAATCAAATGTTTGGCAGAATTGGAGCTAGGCAACTTCCAAGTGATGGTCACAGGGCTTTTTCCTTGTTCACTGAATAATCACACTTTCAGCCCAAAGCCCCCATGTAACATTTCCAACTAGCCTGCATCCTTTATATTGGGGAGTTCACATTTAGGCTCTCTGGTCAAATCCAAGTTGAGCTCATCTTATAGCATCTAGACATATGGGCACAAAAGCCATCTTGGAATTGGAACCTTTCAGCATCAAATTCTCAACTGAGGCCACAGACACAATGGTGCAGAAAAGAGCCACTCGACCTTCTTCCAATTTTCTGACCCTTAGGAACCAAAAACAAATTGTTTTTTGAAAGCCACTACATTTTTTGGGTAGTATGTTAATAGAGCAGTAGATAACAGGAGTGTATGTTTCTCTTTTTATTTTCCATAACTTCAAGTATGTATGTCATAACACATTGTAGAATGTGGTTCTTTTTTTCCTATCTGAGTCTCAGATTGGAAAATTCCAAGTAGCGTTTTAGGGCTTTCTTGCCTTAGACCTACATCTTCCAGCAGTTTTCTCTGGGTAATTGTCTCAGGGCTTCAACCTCCAACCATTCTCCAAGCTGCTGATACCTCTCTAATGTCCAAGTTGTCAGCCAGGCCTGACTCTACCTAGAGAAAACTTTAAAGTTCCTTTGGAAACCTTTCAGGTTAGTAAGCAAGTCATAGTGACGGGTGGAGGAGGTTGCCATGGAGACAGGTCCAGGGCCTGGGACTTGGGGGTAGGGAAAGGCCCGAACTCGAGTTTTGATTGGCTGTGCGGGAGCTCGCGTTCTCCGGAGGCACATGCGCACTGGCGCCAAGGCGAGGTCGCGGCGAAGCCTAGCCGCTGAATATACTCAGGGCTGGAGTTGTCAGGGCCGGGCTGTAAGACGAACGGTTCCCAGCGGCTCCCTGCTGCGTCTGGGAAAGAGAGTGGCGAGACCGGAGGCGGCACTGCAGCACGGGACCTCTCCCGCCACGGAGGCTCCCGCGACCCCGCCGCCATTATTACTCGTGTGGCCTTTGGGGCCGCTCGGGCTGCGCGGCGGCCGGGCCCCAGCGACAGGTAATGATGTCCCGACGCCGGGTCCGCGCTCAGCGGGACCGGAGCCCGAGCCTGGGCCTGAAGCTGGAAGCGAGCGGGCGTGGGGCGTGCGCAGGCCGGTGCTCACAGCCAGAAGAGAAGCTGAGACGGGGTGGTGGAGGCTGCCGTGTGGGGCCCGGACCCGCGCTGTGCGGCGCGGGGTCCCGCTACTCCCGGTGCCCGCACCGGAGGGGGCGTAGAGGGCGGGCCGGGAGGAGGAGCGCCCAGGCGCCGGGTGAGGCCGCACACACTTGGCACGACCCATGGTCGAGCCCGACTTGGAGCTGGAGCTGGGGGCCAGGTGGGTGTGGGGTGCCGGAATCCTCATTTCGAATGTATCCTAAAGGAACTGTCTCCCGTAGAAGGCGCTAAACCGCTTCCAACCTCTCTGAAAGACGTCAGGGCCTTTCACTGCTTTCCAGTCCAACCGGCTGGGCATCCCAGCCTTAGTGAACCGCTACCGCGGGACGGTGTTAACCATCATGCCAAGTGAGTGAATGGCTCGCCTCCCCCCGACCCCCCCCCCGTCCTCTTTCCTTCTCCCCTTGGGAACCTTGAACACTTTTAAAAGAAGAAATTTGACACCTAGTTTGTTCCCAGAAACTCTTAGTTTGCTCTGTTGTTTAGAACGAGTTCACAAGTCAATAGAGCTTCTGTGACATCGGTGACTAAAATGTGTAGGCTCTTCTCCAAGTCGGATCAGATTTTTTTTGGCTATAAAAATGGGGGTTTTTGGCTATAAAAATGTTTTAATTTTTTTTTTTGCACACACACACGTACCAATACTGGGGCTTGAACTCGGGGACTGAGCACTGTCTTTTAGGGATTTTTGTTTTTTGTTTTTTTTTGTCGGTCGTGGGGCCTGAACTCTGGGACTGGGCGCTGTTCCTCAGGGCTTCAGCTCAAGGCTAGCACTCTACCACTTGAGCCACACCACCACTTCCAGCTTTTTCTGCTTATGTGGTACTGAGGAATCGAACCCAGGGCCTCATTCATGCAAGGCAAGCACTCTACCACTGAGCCACCTTCCCAGCCCTCCTTTAGCTTTTTGCTCAAGACTGACTTTCTAACATTTGAGCCACAATTCTACTTCCAGATTTTTTGGTAGAGGTAAAAATCTCATGGACTTTACTGTCTAGGCTTGGCTGTGAACTGTGATCCTCAGATAGCCTTCTGAGTAGTTAGGATTACAGGCATGAGTCACTGGCACCCAACTTAAATAATTGCTCTGTCACATCAGAGCATGGGCACTGTCCCTGAGCTTCTTTTACTTAAGGCTAGTGCTCTACCACTTGAACCACAGTGCCACTTCTGGCTTTTTCTGCTTATGTGGTAATGAGGAGTCAAACTCAGGACTTCATGCATGCTAGACAAGCACTCTAACACTAAACTACATTCCCAGCCCCTGTCACATCTTTTTATGGTCACTTCTCCCACCAGCTACCCCTTCTTTTACAATTCTAAGGATATAGGAGAGAAGTTGAAGATAAATCCTTCATCTTTTATGGGTTTATGCACACTGAGCAGTCAGTTTCTGTATGTGTGTGTGTGTGTGTGTGTGTATTGCAGAATACATTAGAAATTCTTGACCTTGTGATTCATTCTTGTATTTCAGGGTCTCTTTCTTGTTCCTGCAAGTTCTAGGCTCAGATTTACAACTAAAGGTACTAATTTTACCTCGGTTTTGTTTTGCCTCTGGTTGCTGAAGCCCTTGATATAATGTTATATCTGTAGCATGAAACTTCAAGCAATTGCCTCATTACTGGAGAAATAAAAGATACTGCCAGATTGACTCTCCTGTCTGTAGCAATGTTAGCCTCGAGGAAAAGGATGACCAGTTCTTCACGCTCTCAATTCCTTCTAATGTGGAAATCAGACAAGGCTCAAAGTGGACCCCACAATATTGAGAAGCAAGCCCTTACTTCAAGACTCTTGCATGACACTGAGGCTTGTCGACAGAATTTTAGGAATTTTCCATACTCAGACCTAGCTGGTCCTCGAAAAGCATTAAGTCAACTCCGGGAGCTCTGTCTTAAGTGGCTGAGACCTGAGATTCACTCCAAGGAACAAATCCTGGAGCTGCTGGTGCTGGAGCAGTTTCTGACTATCCTGCCTGGTGAGGTTAGGACTTGGGTAAAGTCCCAGTATCCAGAAAGCAGCGAGGAAGTGGTGACTCTGGTGGAGGATTTGACTCAGCTTCTAGAAGAGGAAGGTGAGCATTGTGGAGCAGAGAGGGGAGGAATCCCGGGGTGGTTAGAGAAGACAAGCAGCACATCTAACGGCATTCTCAAGAAATTGGGAGAACCAAGATCACTGAGTGTGTAAGAACATGGCTTTAACATGAGCTCCATTCTGCATTGTGTTTCCCTTACACATTGCTTGGAACCAAACACATTATCTCAGCCCAGAGGAGAAATGTCATGAAAGAATGACTAGGCATAAATAAGGGAATCCCTGAATGAGTCCTCAGTTATATGCAGAAGTTTACACCAAGCTACTGATAGACATACCTTTGCCTTTGTAGATTGAATTTTATGCTTCCAAAAGAGTAGAAAAGGTCCAGTGAGTAATCGCTATTAAGGAAAGATTCAACTCATAAAATTTACATCAGATAAGGATTTAATAGAAAATTGTGAATTTCTTTTTTTTTTTTTTTTGCCAGTCATGGGGCCTGAACTCTGGGTCTGGGTGCTGTTCCTCAGCTCTTCCACTCAAGACTAGCGCTCTACCTCTTGAGCCACAGCACCACTTCTGGCTTTTTCTGCTTATGTGGTGGTGAGGAATCGAACCCAGAGCCTCATGCATGCAAGGCAAGCACTCTACCACTGAGCCACCTTCCCAGCCAAAAATTGTGAATTTCTGTAATATGCTTAAGTCCCCAAGCAAACTTGTTTTTGAATTCTCAGGACAAGTCATTAGCCTTCTCTCTGACTCTGGAGTATTGTGCTGTTTTCTATTCTCTTTTGGCTGCTCACTTTAAGAAAGTATCGGTAGCCGGGCACTGGTGGCTCATGCCTGTAATCCTAGCTACTCAGGAGGCTGAGATCCGAGGATCTTGGTTCAAAGCCAGCCTGGGCGGGAAATACTGTGAGACTCCTATTTCCAATTAACCACTAGAAAACCAGAAGTGGTGCTGTAGCTCAAGTGGTAGAGCACTCGCCTTGAGCTGAAAAGCTGAGGGACAGCGCCCAAGCCCAGAGTTCAAGCCCCACAACCACCAAAAAAAAAAAAAAAAAAAGTATAGGTATATATTTGGTGAAGGGTTTCCTAGGCTATACAAAGAGAACTAATCTCCATCATGATCTCTTTCTCTTTCCTAGCTCCTCAGAACTCTGTCCTTTGCCAAGAGACCCCAGAAGAAGACCCCAGACATGCTTTCCAGGCAGGGTGGTTCAATGACTTGGTGACCAAAGTGAGTTTGTATCTTTAAAGTACCTTCTTAGTGTATGAGGATATTTTCTGTCCTGGACCTGTAATATCTGAACTCTTGAAAACCCTGCCTGGGACCTCATTAGTTTCCCTTCTTAGTTCCTTTGGCACATGTGCTTTCATTGTTTTCCTTGGATATGTCTTTCATATTCTCCTTGACTTGAAGTTAGCAAGATTGCATAAAGGGAAAGAGGTGGACTAACAAAGACAAAGGAATTTGAGTTATTCAACTCCAATAAGTAAAATTTAGTTCTCAGATTGTGAATAAATATTGTAAGATTTGTGGCTAGCCTATATTCTAGGAAGTGATAGGTAAATATTAATCTAAATGTTATTTTTCCTCATTAATGAGTAATAAATACCATATATTATTTGATATTGCTTGATTGAGTCCGTGAATCAGTCAGTGTCTCTGTCTCCCCTCCCCCCCTCCACCTCTCTCCTTATTCTTTTGGCTGATAGTGGGGCTTGAACTAAGGGCTTCACTTTCACTTGGATTTTTCACTCAAAGTACTCTACCACTTGAGTTTCTTTGCTGGTTAATTAGAGAATGAGTCTCATAGATTTTTCTGCCCAGGCTGGGTTCAAACCTTGATTCTCAGACCTCAGCCTCCAGAAAAACTAGGATTATAAGTTTAAGCCACCAGCATCCAGTATGAGTCTTATAATTTAAAGAATTGCAATTTGAGCCACCTTAAGAGAAAAGATACAAGACTAATGTAACTTATGTGGTAGAGCACCTGTCTAGCTAGTACAAGTCCCTGAGTTCAAGCCATAGTATTCAAAAAAAGAACAAGTAAGAAAGAGAGAAAGAGAAAAGTTATGTATGTTTGTTTATTAACTAAAAGAGATTAATTGGAAAAATATAAATACTGAAGTTGGAAAGCCTTAGGCAACCAAATTACAATTATTTAAAGAGAATATGAACATATTTACCTAGAAAAAAAATCTAAGAAAGGCAATGGAAATACTGTTTTAAAAAAAACCCAGTAATAGAAAATTTGATTAAAATGACATGAAGAAATCCCGTTTTTACATATCACTTTTTTACATATATGTAAAAATTACAAAGATGTTAAAATGAAAGATTATGTACAATAGTTGGGCACCTATGGCTTATACCTGTAATCCTACCTACTTCAATGGGATTGAAAGATAGTGGTTTGAAGCCAACCAGGGCAGAAAAGTTTATGAGAGCCTCTCTGTGGAGAGTTGGATACAATGACGTATGCCTGTCGTCCTACTTACAACAAGAAACCTAACCAATCACACACCTTTGTGGGAAGCCCAGTCTTAACCTAAAAATAACCAGCAAAAAAGCTGGGTTGGAAGCATGACTCAAGCGGTAGAGTACCAGCCCTGAGTAAAAAAAGCTGAGCAAGAGTGTGAGGCTCTAAGTTCAAGACCTGGTATACACATTAAAAAACAAATTAGGGGCTGGGAAGGTGTCTCAGTGGTAGAGTGCTTGCCTTGCATGCTCAAGGTCCTCGGTTCGATTCCTCAGAACCACATAAGCAAAAAGAAAAAAGCCGGAAGTGGCGCTGTTGCTCAAGTGGTAGAGTGCTAGCCTTAAGCTGAAGAGCTAAGGGACAGTACCCAGGCCCAGAGTTCAGGCCCCACGACCGGACCCCCCCCAAAAAAATTATACTTCATTATTGAGTTTCCCTTTAGCACCACTGAAGGATGCCATGTAGTCAGGCTGATTCAAACTCACTATGAGGCTAAGCTAGCCTCAAATACATGGTCTTCCAACCTCAGCCTTCTGAGTGCTGGGATTACAGGAACATAAGCCATGCCTAGTAGGGTGAGGCTTTTGACCAGTCAACTTTTAAGGTTTCTAGCGCCTAAGATTCTATGATCCCCTACCACCATATACACACCCAGTGTTACCACTATCCTGTTCCCACTAGTTCTTAAACCAAATTAAGTTACATTTGATATTTTAGGAATCAATGACATTCAAAGATGTAGCTGTGGACATCACCCAAGAGGACTGGGAACTAATGCGTCCTGTACAGAAGGAATTGTACAAGACCGTGACATTACAGAACTATTGGAACATGGTTTCTCTAGGTAACCATTGTTTACCCTTCTCCTTCCATCATGCCCACAGAATATCTTTTGGCCCCTACTTGTTAAGAATAGGTTAAGCCTAGAAGTCCTTGGGTTAAAAATAAGAGCTAGAGATTCGTGTTCTCATCCCATTCAGGCACAAAAAATGGCCATATTAATACTCTCTTTTTCAAAGTGAAAGGCTTTTATATGAAAGATCATTGAAATGACATATAATTTCACAATGCTGCCCATTTGATGCTGTGCAATTCTGACTTACCCATTTCCTGCTGCTGCAAAGGAAAAATTCTTTCCCAGGCTTCTCTTAGGTAGCAAGAAATTTTTATCCTACCTCTAAATAAGACCTCATATTAGATCATGTCCATGGTTTCCTATGGAGGTTTAGATATCATAATAAACTTTCATGGCTGTTTTATTTCCAGGATAAAATTCATCATATTTTCCCTGAACAGGACTGACTGTGTACAGACCAACTGTGATTCCCATATTGGAAGAACCATGGATGGTGATAAAAGAAATTTTAGAAGGCCCTAGTCAAGGTGAGAGAAAAATCAGCGCATGAATTTCTTTGTATTAGGAGTTTATACAAGAGTATGTTGATAATGCTTTTCAATATGGCCAAATCAATCTCAGCAGACGTATCCCAGGCTGTTAAGAACTCTGATGTAGCCAGGCACCAGTGGCTAACGCCTGTAATCCTAGCTACTCAGAAGGCTGAGATCTGAATTGAGGTTGAAAGCCAGCTCAGATAGGAAAGTCCCTGAGACTCTTACCTCCAATAAACCACCAGAAGTGGCACAGTGGCTCAAGTAGTAGAGTGCTAGCCTTGAGCTGAAGAGCTCAGGGACAGCATTCAGACCCAGAGGTCAAGCCCCATGACCACCACCAACAACAACAACAAAAAAAAGAATTCTGATGTGTTTGGCATTGCTACCTTACAGAGACCATCTTCAGAGTTTACACATTTTTCTTCTTTTCCCTGGGTCTCTTCTCATTTTATCCTTTACATGACTCTGAAGGCCAGGCTCAGAGCTTGTCTGCAGCCATTTTCCTTCTCTCTATATGTAAACAGCATAAAAGTCACCTAAAAACCCAAACTATCTTCTTTCTGAATTTTTTTCAGTACTGGGGTTTTGAATTCAGGGCCTTGCACTGGCGAGGCCGGTGCTCTACCTCTGATCACACACCTCCAGCACTGGTCATTTTTAGGATAGGATCTCATTCCCCACCTGAGCATTCATGTGAGCTTTTATCTGTCTACACCATGTCCAGTTTCCTTCCTCATGGACTTTTCTGTCCAGGCTGGCCTTGAACCTTGATCTTGAACCTTAATCCCAGCCTCTCAAGTAGCTAGATTACATGTATGACCCACCTAAACCCAGCCTGAATTCCTTTTGTCTGTTTTCCTGCATCTACTTTTCTGACTCATTCCCTTTTTTTTTCTTTTGGTTGTGGGAGCTGAACTTTAGGCCTGGGCACTGTCCCTCAGCTCTTCAGCTCAAAGCTAGCACCCTATCACTTGGGCCAGAACGCCCAACTGGCTTTTTTCTGTTTATGTGGTGCTGAGGAATCGAACCCAGGGCCTCATGCATGCGATGCAAGCACTCTTACCACTGAGCCAACTTCCCAGCCCCAACTCATTACCTTTTAATTTTTTCTAATTATTTTTTAAAATGCATTCATAAGATTCAAAAATTTTAAGTGAGCCAGGCACCAGTAGTTCATATCTATATTCCTAGCTACTCAGGAGGCTGAAATCTTGAGTATGGAGGTTCTAAGCCAGTCTACCAGGAAGTTTATGAGACTGACCTCCAATTAGCCAACAAATAGCCAGAAGTGGAGCTGTTGTTCAAGTACTAGAGTGCCATCCTAGAGAAAAAGCAAGGTATAGCATCCAAGCATCCATAGGACAAGCAAAAAAAAAAAAAAATCCAACTAAGGGTGGTATTTTCTTAGTTTTTTATTTTTATTATGCCTTATTGAGTATGTAGTAACATTAACATGGTTCAGAAGTCAAAACTATATAATAAAAAAGAATACATTCCTAAACCCTCTATCTTATCCCATCCACTCCCTGAAGCTAACCATATTCATTTGTATCCTTCCTTTTGAACACAAAAGAACATTTTGAATACTTTTGCATCTTGCTTTTGTATCTTTTTACTTAAGGCACTGACTTGTATTTGTACTAATATTTGTACTGGAATACAGCATTAACAATGAATTAACAGAATGTTCTATGCTACCTTGTATAGTTTCACTTTCTTTAAAAAGCTAATTTGCCAGGCACCAGTGGCTCATGCCTGTGATCCTTGCTACTTAGGAGGCTGAGATCTTAGGATCCAGACTCAAAGCCAGCCTGAGCAGAGAAGTCTGTGATACTCAGCAAGATTGGGGAGTTATCTCAGGCAACCAAGATTATTATTCCTATCTTCCTGTCTTACCTTTTTACTTGAATTTTGGCCTCTGAGGATTTTTACCATCCATCTCAGAGCTATGAGACTTGGTTTATTTATTTTATCTAATTAGTTATACTACAGGAAATGTAAGTCTTGATGATTTATAAGGAGAATAACAGTAGGATCAATTACCATCTCATCTGGTTCTTTATGTTTGTACAGTACCTGGCCATTGTTCTAGGCCAGACTCAAACTGGAATCTTTCCTTGAGGCTTTCCATAGTTATCTGAACCAGCATTTCTCTCTGTTAGAAATATTAGACTGCTATGTGGCTTTATTAACTAACAAGGTACTTTCACTTCTAACCAGCTATTCTGGTTACTTAGACACATATTTAAGCGCTGCATCATGATTTCAATTTCTGAATTTCTAATAAACTGATTTTTAAATGTATTGTAGTAGCAATATTTGTGGTCATCATTTAGACTTACTGCTTTAGGCTGGTATAGATCAATGGCAGTGCACTTGTTTAGCATATATGAAGTCTTGATTCCAACCCCTAACACAAATTACATACACAAACACATACATACACACACACTTCTGTAGAACTTCTTTTTTAGGTGTGTGTAGACTGCCATAGACTGTTTCTTATTACTTAGAGTTAAAATGAGGGGCTGGGCCGGGTGCTGGTGGCTCACGCCTGTAATTCTAGCTACCCAGGAGGCTGAGATCTGAGAATCACGGTTCAAAGCCAGCCCAGGCAGGAAAATCCGTGAGACTCTTATCTCCAATAATCTAGAAAACCGGAAGTGGCTCTGTAGCTCAAGCAGTGAAGCTCTTGCCTTGAGCTGAAGGGCCCAAGGACAGCGCCCAAGACCAGAGTTCAAGCTCCAAGATCGACAATAAATAAACAAAGTGAGGGGCTGGGAATATGGCTTAGTGGTAGAGTGCTTACCTAGCATGCATGAAGCCCTGGGTTCAATTCTTCAGTACTACTACAAACAGAAAAAGCCAGATGTAACGCTGTGGCTCAAGTGGTAGAGTGCTATCCTTGAGCAAAAGAATCTCAGGGACAGTGCCTAGGCCCTGAGTTCAATACCAGGACCAGAAAAAAAAAAGTAGTGAGCTTCTAGAACTAGTTCATTGTGTGTGTATACCTATTTAGTCCATTGTTACTTTGTTTCTTTGGAGCAGGGTAACAAATCTTGCTTAAGAAAGGGTTTGTTGGATTAAAGCAGTATAACTATATTTCTAGTATTAAATGCAGTAAAACTGGCAGGCACCAATGGCTTATACCTGTAATCCTTGCTACTCAGGAGACTGAGACCTGAGGATTATTGTTTAAAGCCAGCACAGGCAGAAAAGTCCAAGAGGCTCTTATCTCCAATTTACCACCAAAAAAAGCCAGAAGTAGAACTGTAGTTCAAGTGGTAGAGCACTAGCCTTGAGCAAAAAAGTTTAGGAATGGGGCTGGGAAGTTAGCTCAGTGGTAGAGTGCTTGCCTTGCATGCATGAGGCCCTGGGTTTGATTCCTCAGCACCACATAAATAGAAAAAGGTGGAAGTGGTGCTGTGGCTCAAGTGGTAAAGTGCTGGCCTTGAGCTGAAGAGCTGAGGGACAGTGCCCAGGCCGAGTTCAGGTCCCATGACCGACAAAAAAAAAAAAGTTTAGGAATAGCACTCAGGCTTAAATTCAAGCCCAACCCTAGGGCTGGCATGTATTCACACATGCATATGCACACACATACACACACACACATACACACAGAGGCAATAAAACTATCTGGGTACCAGTGATTCATACCTGTAATCCTAGCTACCCAAGAAGCTGATATCTGAGGCTTACAGTTCAAAGCCAGCCCAAGCCAGAAAGTCTGAAAATCTTGTCTCCACTTAGCCAGAAGTGGAACTATGGCTCAAGTGTTAGAATGCTAACCTTGAGCAAAAAAGCTCAGGAACAGTACCCAGCCCTGAGATCAAGCCCCCCAGGACCAGCATAAAAATCAATGAAAGCAGGGAAAGTAATAACCACTTTACTGAAAATTTGAAACTTATTCTTTTCACTTCATCTAATGTATTTTCTTTTCTTTCCTTTTTTTTTTTTTGACAGTCCAGGGGCTTGAACTAAGGGCCTGGGCACTGTCCCTGAGCTTCTTTTGTTCCAGGGTAGCACTCTACCACTTGAGCCACAGTTCCACCTCTGGATTTTTCTGTTTGTGGTACTGAGGAATCAAACCTAGGGCTTTGTGCATGATAGGCAAGCACTCCACCACTAAGCCACATTCCCAGCTCTCTAGTCTGCTAATCATGATAGATTTATTTTTCATTTAACATTTTCTAGTATCAATTATAATTTTTGTATTTGAATAAAAAATTTCAAGCAGTAAAGGAAACAAATTATTCTCATCAGGTGCAAGTGGCTCACTCCTGTAATTACAGCTACTCAGAAGGCTGAGATCTGAGGAAATACAGCCCAGGAAGGAAAGTCTGTGAAACTCTCCAATTAACCATCAAAATGCCAGAAATGGAGCTGCAGTTCAAAGTGGTAGAGTGTTAGTCTTGAGTACAAAAGTTCAGGGATAGCAACCAGGCCCTAAATTCAATCCCCAGGACCAGCACACACACACACACACACACACACACACACACACACACACACACACAAATTACTCCTCTCTTCCTACGCATTACCAGGTCCTACTCCCCTTAGATCATCAGCATCTGTGTGTGCCTATCTAGATTGCACACAATGTATCTTTTTTTTAATTTTTTTATTTTAAAGATACTATACAGAGATATAGTATATATAGTAAGGTAATGAGTACACTTCCTATTGAGCATTTTTACCCCCTCCATTGTTTTCCCCCTACTATCCCTTCCCTCCCTAACTTCCCCGAGGTCTTTTTAATTGTGATTAAGTGATTACATAATTTCCCAAATTTCACAGTATTGTGAGATAATGATGCTCATTTAAAGTCACAAGCTCATTCTAACTTTTCTGGAGCAAATTGTCTATCACAGTCTATAACATATACACCATACATGTGATCAGCAGCATGAGTGGTTCGACCAGATGAGTGGAAGGTTCTTTGTTTCTTAAGTCCTGTTAATTTTGTCATATCACCTAACATTTTGGAT